GCAGTAGACACACACAAACACTACACAAATAGATACACAAACACTACACAGACACACAAATACACACATTTTAGCCTAAGACTAAAGCAGAGAGAAACTTTATATTTATCATTTCTGAATACAAAACTTGTGCTTTTATAAATGTTTTTCACAAGTTTTCAGTTTTTACTCTTTAGCTTGTTTCACAGCTGTTTGTTTGTTTGTTTGTTTGTTTGTTTGTTTGTTTGTTTGTTTGTTTGTTTGTATTTACATTCTGCCTCTGTGTCTGCAGCAAGCTGGGGTCTGTGCTCCAACGTGCCTTCTATGGGTCCAGTGGGAGGGTGAGTCTGAAACTAACTAACAGGTTTAAAGTCTGACAAAACGCACAGTTTCAACTGTTTCCTTCATATTTTTATGCTTCAAACAATATTTACAACGTTCCATGAATGTTTGGGTTAATGTTGTTCAAAATTTATCAGGCGGTTTATTTGTAAAACAAAAATAAAATAATAAATTGATCAGAAAAGAGAGAAAATTCATTGAAAAGTCTTTTTTTTTTTTTTTGGACACATGGCTGTAAGAGATGAAAAAGTAATAAAAAACTGAAAAAGCTTAAACTCAACTGTTAGGAGTTAAAACAAGCAGAAGATCAAACCTAAAACAAGATGAACATTAGCTAAAATTAACTAAACTAGCTAAAATTTGGAAAACAAGACCTAAAAGAAGCACATTAGCTAAAGTTAACTAAACTAGCTAAAATAAAGAGAGCAGTTCCTAAAAGAAGCAGAAATCTAACCTTGGTAAAACGGGAATGAAGACATGCTGTCAGTCACCTCTGCTGATGTAAAGATGTATTTTCTAACAACCAGCTGAAGTGAAGTCACTCTGCTGCAGTTCATTAACACACATTAAATATCTGACCAATCACAACACACAAAAGATTTTGTTTGGACTTCATGACTTTTTCTCATTAAACTGTTTCAGTCAGAACAGATTTTTTCACATGAAACCTTATTTTAGCATATCTTTTATGATTAATAACAATTAGAATTTGCTGAAAAAAATGACAAATGAATCATTAAACAGAAGCTGAATTTATCGACTAAAGTCTTCATTCAGAGACAGAAAATATCAAAAAATAATAATTAATCTTTCCTCTCGGTTTCCTCCCTGACCTCAGGTGACCCTTTTCGAGCAGCGAAACTTCGCTGGCAGACGACTGGACCTGAACTCGGACTGTCCCAGGATCAGTGACAAGAACTTCCCTGAGAGATGTAACTCTGTCCAGGTGGAGAGCGGAGCGTAAGTCTGCCTTTAAACCACACCTGAAGCTGAGAAGCCCTTCACCAAAACCGTCAAATATTTAACTGTTTATCAACACAAAAAGTATTTTGGGATTTTATATAGAGAGAAGAGTTTGGAAAGGTTTTTTTTWAATAACCTTACTAAAAACTTTTCTTTAAACCTTAAGCAAAACCTAAAATTTATTTTACAAATCAAGCTTCAATTTGAATTTTGTTTCATATTTATAAAAACTCCTAACAGAACTCTGGAGGCAGCAGGTGATTTTCATGTTGATGGTTTTAGAGCAGCTCCTGCAGGAAGTTTAGTTTCTACTTCTTTTTGTAATAATCTCAGCTGATGAAACGTAAAAACCATAGATTAATTTTTAATCTAACTTTCTAACTAAATTTTAACTGTTTTAATAGACATGAGAAGTTAGAAATATTTGTGTAGAAGAGAAAATTCTGAGCTCTGATAAGACTCCGTAGACTTGGAGAATCTGATTCCTCCTCAGCCCCTCATCACTTATGGAGTTCCACAAGGAGCCATACTTGGTCCCCAGAGGTGATCGGGTCTTTATTTGTAGCTCCTAAAAAAATCTCATTGAATAAAATCACAGATTACAAAAAAACAAGCAGAATATTGTAAAATAAAAAATAAAACCAAAACAGGGATCATTAATTAATTAAAAAAACTAAAATAATTTGATTAAATATTAGTAATTAAATGTTCTGTGTCTGACTTTGGTCCTGAAGGTGGGTCGGGTATGAGCAGGAGAACTACCGAGGCCGTCAGTACCTGTGGGACATGTCCGACAGGGGGGAGTACAACTGCTACGACAGGTGGTGTGCWCAGACGGACCACATCTCCTCCGTCCGCTCCATCAGACAGGTGAGGCTCAGCAGCAGGTCAGCTCTTCAGCACAAACATCAAAACAACTAAAATATTTAAAAAACAAAATTCAAAGAGAAAAATGGACAAAATGAGACTCTGGTGTACGTCTCAGCATTTCTACCATTCATCGTTACAGCTCTTTGTCATCAAACAAACATCAAACAATCATCAATCAATCATCAATCAATCGTCAAACAATCATCAATCAATCATCAACAATCATCAGTCATAAAACAACCATCAATTATCAAATAATCATCAACAATCAAACAATCATCAACAATCACCAAACAATCATCGATTATCAAACAATCATCAACAATCATCAGTCATAAAATAATCATCAATTATCAAACAATCATCAACAATCATCAAACAAACATAAATTATCAAACAACCATCAAACAATCATCAATCATCAAACAATCATCAACAATCATCAACAATCATCAAACAATCATCAAACAATCATCAAACAATCATCAACAATCATCAATCCTCAATCATCAAACAACCATCAAACAACCATCAAACAATCAAACAATCATCAAACAACCATCAATCATCAAACAACCATCAAACAATCATCAATCATCAAACAAACAACCATCAATCATCAATCAATCATCAAACAATCATCAATCCTCAATCATCAAACAACCATCAAACAATCAAACAATCATCAAACAACCATCAATCATCAAACAACCATCAAACAATCATCAATCATCAAACAAACAACCATCAATCATCAATCAATCATCAAACAATCATCAATCCTCAATCATCAAACAACCATCAAACAATCAAACAATCATCAAACAACCATCAATCATCAAACAACCATCAAACAATCATCAATCATCAAACAAACAACCATCAATCATCAATCAATCATCAAACAATCATCAATCCTCAATCATCAAACAACCATCAAACAATCATCAAACAACCATCAGTCATCAAACAACCATCAAACAACCATCAAACAATCAACAATCCTCAAACAATCGTTAAACAACCATCAGACAATCATCAAACAACCATCAAACAATCATCAAACAACCATCAGTCATCAAACAACCATCAAACAATCAACAATCCTCAAACAATCATTAAACAACCATCAGACAATCANCATCTTAAAAGAAGCAAACATCTAAAAATAACTGAAAAAAACTTCTACATTTACACTTATATACATCGGTTAGCATGGTGCGTTGTTTGTTACTGCAACATTAAGCCATTGTATAAGTTTTTAGTTAAATTTTTATGTTTGAAACTGTTGAGAAAATGTGTTTCTCCTGCATGAGTGTTCCGGAGAGATTAGCATTATGCTAGCAGTTTTCTATGGGTTTTATATTAGCAGCTAATTAGCAGGATGCTAACACCTGTTTCTTGTTTTAAAGGAGTAAATTAATTGTTGTTTACATGTTATTTGTTGATTTAGATTGAGCACATATGGTCAGTTGTATATATTTGTTATAAATGTGTGTTTGTATGAATATTATAAATGTAATTTTATCTTGTTAACAGTTTAACCTGCAGCAGCTGCTCTGTGTGTTTCAGTAAACAATAAACAACAATAAGTGTCTTTATATTGTTCTTACCTGGGCAGTAGTGAGGGATTAACCCAGAAATGACCCCAGATTGTAAAATCTGCCATCACACCTGGAGACTGAGCAGGTACAATAGGTCGACGCCCCCTCACAGACCTGTAACAGAGCTGGGGGGGGAGGGGGGGGCATTATCAGAGCTTTGTTGGACAGAAAATGCTGAAATGTTCAAAGCCAAAGTGTTGCCA